CAGCAATTAACCACTAGGAAGAATGTATGCAATGTGTTAATTATTGAAACTGTCCTACCAATTTGGTTTGAAACTGTCTCATGTCTATTTGTTTCCTAATAAAATTATGGGGGAAAAAAGAATTAATTGTTCTTGGGTAAAATTATATACATATATTACTTTTTTTTTTTTTTTTTTGCAGAACTGGGGATTGAACTCGGGCCCTTGCGCTTGCCACGGAAGCGCTTATTCCACTGAGCCATCTCCCCAGCCCCTACGTTTTTGAAGCTCTTTTTCATCTTCAGTATTTGTGTTTTGTCTAGTTGATCTACTTGTGGTAGGGAGTTCTGAGGTACGCCATTGTCTCAGTTAACTCTTCTCTCGCTGCTGGGACAAAATACCCAACACCAGGAAAGGTTTATTTAGCTCACAGTTTGTGGAGGTTTCAGTCCATACTCAGCTGACTCCAAGGCTCTGCACATGGCAGAGGGCAGCAGTTCATGGCCATAGAAAATAGCAAAACAGCAAGAGCAAAAGGGCAGGAGCAGTGGCAACAATGGCTACAGAGAGCAAATCTGTCTCCCTTAAGTTGCATTCAGGCTATCCGCCCCAGGCTGGGTGTATTACTCATACACATAATACCAGCAGCACTCACACCCATAATCCCTGAGGATCATTAATTAATCACAAAAATATGAATTAATCACAAAGTTTAGATGTCTGCCCCTTGACTGCATGAGGATTTGGGGGGAAAACTAGACACAAACCATAGCATCCATTATAATTCTATGTTTATCTGTTCTTTTATGCCCAGTAGTACTTGTTTATAAAGTTGGGTGTACCATTGTTTAGTGTGTATATATTAATAATTGTTTTCTTTTCCTGTTGGATTATTCCTTTAACCAATATGTAGTGTCCTTTTTTGCCATTTTTGGCTTGAGGTTCATTTTGTTTGAAAACACAGGACAGTGACACCTACTTCTTTGGAGGTTCCTTCTACATGGATTTTTATTTCCATCCTTTGACATTTTAGCCTATGTGTTTCTTTTTTTTATTTAATATGCTCCTTTATACAGTATACTAATTTGGTTTTGTTTCCTGATCCATTTTGTCTGTATCCTTTGGGAAATTGAGACCACTCACACTGTGAGTTATTACCATTAAATACTAATTTATTCCTGTCATTGCCTTATTTTCCTGTTGCTGATTCATTATCCTTTAAGTGTATTTAGTACAAGGTCTACAGGATCTCACTACATAGATCAGACTTGTAGTGACCCTCCTGTTTTTCAGCATCCCAAGCACTGGGATTACAGACATGCACCACCACATCCAGTCTCAGTTGCCTGTCTCAGTGTATGCCTGGAGTGGGCCTGCAGACCTATTGGGGATCGAACCCAGTCTCTGGGTCTGCCTAAACAGGTGCTTTAATCTGCTGAGCTATCTGGCTGGCCCTCATTTCCTTCTATGTTACAGCTTACCCTACCTCGTGCACTCATTCTATCATCAGGCCTTCTATCACTGATAGCTCATCTCTCTCTAGAACGTCCTTGAGAACTTATTAGAGTGCTGGTTTGGTGGTTATGAACTTCTTTAGGTACTCTTTATCATGAAAGTATTTCATTTCTCCAACAATTTTGAAAGATAGTTTTGTAGGAGATATGTGAGGCTGATTATGTCTACTTAGAAGTCTAGTTAAGAGTAGCTTATCCAAAATTAATTAGCAATTCCAGACCCGAGGATATAGAAGACCCACCGTAGGGCGGCTCATCACCTGCCGTATAAGGGAAAATGAGGAAGGATGTTCTTAGAGGCGCTCCAGTCCACACCTTCACCTTGGACATCATCTCCTGGCTTCTAGGGCAGACTCTTTAGCCTTCCATCGCAGACCCACCAGCCTCTTGACAGACTGCCCCAGGACTCTGCAGTGAGCTCCAGGCCTTGAACTGAGGATCATGGTCTCCAGTGTACAGACACCCTCTGTACCCTTTTCATATGACTCTGTGGATGGCCAATGTAAGCCCACCTTGTGAATTCTTACACATTTGCATATCCTGTTATATCTGTTTCCTCTAGCAAAGCACTGACTGATGCAACTAGGTTGGAGGTTATTTTCCTTTAGGGCTTGAAACATGTCTAGTTCTCCCGGCCTTTTAAGATTTGTGTTGACAAGTTTGGCATAATTCTAATGGGGTTACCTTTATAAGTGACTCATTGATTTTTTATAACCACTTTTAAGATTTTCCTTGTGTTAGACTTCCAGGATTTTGACTATCAATGATGTGTTGTGGAGAGGTCTTTTCTGATTGCCACTATTTGGAAGTCTATGTGCCTCATTTGTCTGTATGTTGTTTTGTTTTGTTTTTGTTTTTTCATTTGGAAAAATTTTGGTATTTTTTCAGCAGTTTTTTTATGTTGTTTGTACTGTCTTCTGGCTTTTCACTGATTGCCTTAATCTTACTGTCTTCTTTGTATCATTTAGAAGTAGTTGGATCCATTTTTCATGTTCTCTTGTTGTTTTGAAGTTCCCTCTCATCAATTACTTCTAATGGCCTTGTCTTCTAGTTCTGACACTGTCCTCTACTGGTCACACTGCTGCCCATACTTTTGATAGAATTTTAATATGAATTTGTTTGAAGCCTTTTATGGGCTCTAGTTCTTTTCTATGCTGGTCATGTTTTCATTGCTTTGTTTAGCTCTTCTATCTTTATTAGTGTCTTCTCTAAACTTTGGTTTCATTTTATCCAACATCTTGTTACTTAGATCTCTTGTGAGCTTACCAAATGCCTTGCTGATCTGTTGTCTTATCTCTGAAATATTTTCAAAAACTAAGGTGTGTGGCTAACCACTCCCGATTTACTCACCACTAACGGTACTGACACAGTGTGATCTCCTGTGGCCCCTTGATTTTAGATTAGCTCCTCTACCCCACAATAGCAACCAGATGCACTAGTACCATTGCTATAACCTCGCTTCAAACATTATCTTCATGTGGTGCCGTATTTGACAATAGTTGCTCCCAACACCCCTCAATTAAAAGCTTCAGGGCTGTCCCCAAGATCTACATGTTTACCTCTAGAGGGGTTCCTATCCATATGCATTATAGTAATAGCTATTCTTTCTTTTTACATGTTACTTTTGCAGTAAACCACAGGCTTGAGTTCAAGCATCAGATCTCACCTATCTTTGTATTTGCAGTGTCTGAGATATGGCAGACATCAGTAAGTGTGTACTGAATCAATGGATAGCGAAGAAAAAAATCAACAAATACAAGAAAAAAAATCAACTTTCCTGTCTTCACAAACCACCCATGCCCAAGTGCATTTGAACTTGGACAACCCAGACTGGAGGGACTACAGGAGAATGAGCTTCACTGTTTCCTCACTTGCTTACTATACTTCAGGACCATTTTCCATTCTGCACCTAGAATTTCTCTCAATCCCACTGCAGATTCTTTCCATCTCCAGGTTTTCACTAACTCCACCGATTAAGCTGCTTGCTTCAATGCTCATTTTTCTTTAATCTATTTTTACAGTTGAAATCTCAGAACTGTTTAGAATATATTTTCAATTATTTTTTATGTCCTAATAAGTTTCTTACCAGAGAGACTTTTTAATGCTGATTTGGAAAAACAATTGGAGGAATATAGAGAACACGGCAAAATTACCACACTGCAGAGCAAAACAACTGATCATTACTAGACATGAACCCTAAAAGTCCTTCACCTCCTTCTCCGAAAGGCGCAACAGCTCACTGGCCAGCTTTCTGCATTAGGCCGTCTGTCCTGTCCCTCCTTCACTCCCTCTTTTCTTTTTCTGATTTCCAGAATTACTTTCTTTCTCCAGGTCTATGCCCAGAAATTCAAATTTTCTTCTATCTTATTAAGCAAATTCAGTGCTCTTTGCTGAAAATCTAGCCTGCCCTGGGCATGTTTTCAGAGCTTAAAATAACTAAAATGCTCTGCCAATTGTTTATTTATTTATTTGTTGGTATCAGGGATTGAACTCAGGACCTTGTGCTTGCCAGGCAGGCGCTTATGCTGCTCAGCCATCGCCCCAGCCTTCAAATTCTTAAATGCCACATGACTTGATCATATTAACAAGCTTTAAATAACTTACGTTGGGAGATCTTTTATTTTTGGATGTGATGTGACACTCTGAAACATAGTAGGCTCAATAGTTCTTTGAAGAGGTTTTAACTAAAGAAAAATGTAAGCATATTTTAGCACTTTCTGGTTACAATTTAAACTACTATGACTTATCAGCCAGGACATGGCTAGCCCTTAAGCAGTACACAAAAGAAAAGGAATGAAGAGAGCAACTAAATTTTTTGGGTACTAAATATTTGCCAAGCATTTATATCGTCAGTTTTATTTAATCCTGTGATCCTATGAAGTAGGTTAACTGTGCCCATTTTACACATGATGCTGAAGATCAGAAAGTTACACAGTAGCTGTTGAGAGCCTGGATGTGAATGTGGATTTTTCTGCCTCAAATACAGTGCTCATTTTATAGGATCACAATAAGAAAGTGGAGGACTAGATCATTGAAGGGCTCAGAAGCATACAATTACACTGAACTTCTGTTACATATCCCATTCTTCGTCATGCAATACCTTTGCTCCTAGATTTAGCTGACACACCTACAGAAAATACTGGCCTAGTTTTATCTTTAAAACATCTACCTCCTGGGCTGGCCAGATGGCTCAGCAGACTAAAGTGCCTGCTTAGGCGGCCACAGAGACCAGGTTTGAGCCCCAGTGTGCTGTGCCGACCCTGCCCCCAGGGGGGTGCTGAGACTGGGCATGGTGGTGCATGCCTATAATCCCAGGACCTGGGAGGCTGAAAACAGAAGATAACTATGAGTCCTATCTGTGTGTGTAGTGAGACCCTGTAGACCCTCTATTAAATACATAAAGAAAAGATCTATCTCAAGAATGTCTATGTTTACATGAGATGCTTAAATCTGAACACAAATCTCACCTCTGAAGTTGATACCTATAAACTATAATTGCCATTAAAAGGCTGAACAGTTAGGGGACCCTATAAGGCCTAATTCGTCATAAGGATATATACAGAAGGAAAAGAAAAATCAAGGCAGAAAAGTGGGAGGGGGAAAACTTGTTCCTTATGCTTTCACCTGTGTATTACTCATTTCTGATCTGAAATATATTAACATCATTACACAGCAAAGAAGTAAAACCTTGGGTTGCAAGTGACTTATTCAGTGAGTGTTCCAGAAGATGAGCAGACCCTTGAGCTTGAGGGTAGAGACGTCCTACAATACAAGCGCTCTTCAGGGCTGAAGCTCACAGGATCAGACCTGAGCCAGTGACTCCTTCCCCACCCCCGGGAGCCTCACTGCTGTGGGACCGTGACTGTTTCCCATGCTCCACCTTAGGCCATGTTCTCTTGCAGAAATCAGTGATTTTTCAGGACACTGGAGGGAGCCCACAAGTGGCACTATTATATTTTTGTCACTTTAAAGAATCTCAAGACAGTACTTTGCTTTTCCATATAAGAATGAGTTTATGAAGGCCCTGCTTCATTGTAGATCAGATTGCCCACTGATACAGACCCTTTTCTCTGCTGCTTTATTGCCTGTTACATCAAATACAGTATAAAGTTATTAATACTGTACTACTATAATCAACATTCATGCAAACATATATACAATGGACTCTATTTTTTTAAAAAACGTTAGAAAGGCAGTAAGATGATTATCATAGTGGAAGTTATGAAGGAAATCATCAAGCAATACAATCAGAAATTTCAAGATTTTATTAGAAGCCTACCACTTGCACAGGAGTAGATATGGCAAAAGGAGTCAGGAGTGTAACAAAATAACAACCACATATTCTACAAGATGCAAAAACTTGCTTCTGCTTTGTTTAAAGGAGAAGCAACTAGCAGGTGCCTGAGAACTTTATCAGCAAAAAGGCAAGAGCCTTGTACACTGACCTCATAAATACACTGCCAGGTATGTCAACAGAAAATGAAGGAGGCCACAAGGCAAGCAGGAAGGAATGCTTTGATAACTTGAAGAGCAGACATGGTATCCCTAATGTCATGGGCCCAGAGAGGCTGTGGGTTCAGGCACCAGGAGAGCTGAAGGGCTCACACCTGAGTTCCAGAAGCTTGTGGTATCCAAGGATTGCCTGCTGGAGCACGTTTTTAACAGTGAGGAGACGGGGCTGTTTTGACCAAAGATGGCCAAGAGGCTTACATTACAGAAGCGAATGCAATGCCCCTTCACAAGCCCACGATAGAACATCTCACCCTCTTGTGCTAATACAAGCAGGGATTTCAAAGTCAAGCCCCTGCTCAGGTCTTTCCAAAACTCCATGGGCCTTCGGGAAATGCCAGGTGCAAAAGAGCCATAAGCATCACGTGGTGGCCCAAAAGCAAGGCGGGGGTCATTCGTATCTTGATTGTTGAATGGGTCAATGAGGTCTTCAACCCTTCAGTGAAGAATTACTTTACAGAAAAGAATCTGGCATTTGAAGTCTTGCTAATTAGGGAGCATGCCCCTGCCCAGCCTCCAGGCTTTGAGGACAACTTACTGGAGGAGTTCAAGTTCCTTCAGGTCCAGTTCCTTCCTCCCACTGCCTCTCTGGTCCTCCTTCCCATGGATCAGCAGGTCATTTCGAACTTACACCAAAGCACTATTTCAGTGATGCTTTGAGGTGACCAAAGAAACAAACCTGACCCTCTTGGGAGTTTTGGAAAAGTCACTTCCACATCCTGAACTGCCCCAAGATCACCAAGAAAGTCTGGAATGGGGTCATCGAAAGGACCCTCAACTCTGGGGAACACTATGGCTTGATCGCATTCTTGGACATTCTTAGGAGCTCGCTCATAAACAGGAGTCCCCAGTTGTCAGTGAAATTGTGTCCTGGGTGAGGACCTTGACACTGGTGGTGAATGAGGACAACATTCAAGAGCTGGTGGAGGAACAGGGCCAGGAGCTGACTGCCGATGAACTGAGGGCTCCGCATCACAAGCAACAGCAAGAGGCTACAGACAGATGTTGTCTGCAGACGAGCACAAGGTGGAGGAATCCCTCACTCTAAATGATTAGAGAAATGTGAGAAACGGTGCAAAATTTTTGTAGAAAAACACCAACTGGCTAGGCTGTAACAGTACAAACAATGGATGTGTTTAACAAGAATGCAATCGTGCAGTTTCATGAAATCCTCAAAAGGAGGCAAAATCAAGTGAAAGGGAGTAAGTTCCTTGGAGAGGTCGCATGGCAAAAAAAGAATGCACTGAATCAACAGATCTAAGCAGTGATTCCTTCCACGATTCTACACGATGACCTTTTCCCTCTCCCCCTCACACTGCCACAAAGATTTCCAAAGCTAAGTGAAGGTTAGTTTTCTTTATACTTTGAATTTTCTTTATTACATTATATTATTGGAATCATTTTTATAGGAATATTTTGGGGGTGTGGAATGAACTGAGTGTCCACTGTTTCTAATGGGGAAATTTGCTTTTATATACAAAATGCTTTGAATTACAAGCATATTTCCAGAGTAAGTTATACTCACAGACCGAAGTTTCACTGGACTACAGGTCAAGGAAGGGACAGGATGGGAATTGGAAAAGAAATTAATCAAAATATAGCATGAACAGGTACAAATTTCCAATGTGATCATTATGTATATATAAATTGTACCAATAAACTTAATTAAAATATTATAGAAATTTTCTTAATTAACATAATAGATTTATCTACTAAAACTAATGTGCCCATCCTCAATTACTCATTTAAAAATGCCCCAAGACTATTAATTTTATTAACAGCAAAAAATTTTAATAGCAAAAATTTTAAATGAAATGTTACATACAAATAGAGACTATTTTCTCTATACGGTAGCAGCACTAATTGGACTAAATTTGTCAATGTCCCAAAGTAATGAAAATCACCAGGCATGGGGACGGGGAGATGGTTCAGTGGAATAAGTGCTTCCTGGCAAG